GCCCGCTCTCGTCGCCCGCCGCTCATCGCCGCTGCACGTTCCCGATGTCAGAAACGATAATCTCTTGAACCCGTCGCCTTCGTCCCCTTCCCCAGGTCGGCCGGTTTTCGYYGGTGACCTCCATCGTCTCCATCGCCGGCGACCTCAAGTGTCCCTGAATTTTCACTAATATCGCCTGCACGCATTCCAAATCTTCACGGCTCTTCGAATCAAGTCGTCAAGTCGTCATTCTCCCTAAATCGTACTGCACATATACCATTTGATATGTCTAATGGTCAATCCGTTGGATTACTTGAATTTGTTGAATGATTACAATCTCCACAGGCTTTCGAGAGGCATGGGACTCCCAAAACGGTTTCTCGCTCAACCAGTGTTCACAAAACAGAATGCCTTTCCCTTTAATCCCCTCAATTATGTTGGTTTGRATTATGAAAAATCTTGTTTTGAACTAGTATCGTTATGTTTGTTTGGATTAATATGAAATACGTGTGTTTGTTGAATCGAATTCGAATAATGGGTTTTTATTAGATGAGAGTTAAAATGGTAATTTATTGTCATTCAGAGAACAGTTACCAAACAACATTATTTCATTCAGCACTTAACCATTCTGACCCTCTTAACTATTCTGCACTAAATCATTCAGCAACTGCCAAACAGCCCCTTACATATTTTGTTCTTGTGGTTTTTATTACATATTTGATCCTTATAATTAATAAAAATGATCAAAATAACCTCTTAAGTAAACTATTTAACAGATTTTTTTTACAGAGCTAGATTTTGAACTAGTATCGTTATGTTTGTTTGGATTAATATGAAATACGTGTTTTTGTTGAATCGAATTCGAATAATGGATTTTTATTAGATGAGGGTTAAAATGGTAATTTATTGTCATTCAGAGAACAGTTACCAAACAACATTATTTCATTCAGCACTTAACCATTCTGACCCTYTTAACCATTCTGACCTCTTAACTATTCTGTACTAAATCATTCAGCAACTGCCAAACAGCCCCTTACATATTTGGTTCTTGTGGTTTTTATTACATAAATCCTGATCCTTATAATTAATAAAAATGATCAAAATAACCTCTTAAGTAAACTATTTAACAGATTTTTTTACATACATAAAACCTCATGAACCAAGAAGGTAATTTACTTTAAAAAATAATTGAAATCCAAAATTAATGAAAAAAATATTAATCGTGTTTGTTCCATAATCTTTAGGCGTAAATAATTGTTTACTAATTTTTAATCTTTTACATTGAGATATTTAACATTTTTTAAGCAATTATTTATATCTACAACTTATCGGAGAGCAAGACACAAACATACACATGAAGAGACCCGGACTCGGACTCGGACTCAAAGCAAACATCTTCTCATTCCTTAGACCAATTGAACAGGAGACTTGCTCATCAACATAAAAAAAATATACTTTTAGTTACAAAAGTATGAAGACAGACTTGGTTGCCAAATTTAGTGTTTAGCATACCTTTCCAAAAGAAAAATAACAAACACAAACCCATCCATCATCATCAAATTACTACTACTCATAATATGCACCCAATAACCAAAAACAAACAACAGACTTCAGTTTATAAAAAAACCATAAGATCATAACAGCAATATGATCCATCATCCAGATATTTCTACAATCATGACTGCCTACGATGAACCACCACCAACCTCCGCCACAAGACTTCTCGCAGCCGGGAAAAGAGCCACCGCACCCTTCTCCGGGTTCACATACTTCCGGTACACAGCCTTCAGCTTTGTTTCACTAGCACAAGCATGGAAACTCACCAAAACCTTTGCACACTCCCTGTTCAAACATCATTTCTCCAATTAAACATCAAAATTTCCAATTTTTATCCATACCCACGTGAACATCAAAACACTCACCTTAGTTGATCTTCGGAGTAGCCGGTGTGATGCTTGAGTGTTTCCGTCCAAGCCGGGGTCTTGTTAAGGGTGCACCGAGCTGCGTAAACGGCTGAAGCCGCGAGCTTAGAAGGGTTGTTGGTTATGATCACCGAGTAGTGAATCAAACCGAGTTCGGTCAAGAAGAAAACCATGTTCCCCATCTAAAATGTCAACAGAAAAGGATCAGTTTCAATTCTAATTCTTACTAAAATTCGATTCTGAAATTTACCTCATCATCAGAAGGAATTGAAGCTTTCGTGTACCGAACAAGAAACACATATGGTGTTGGAACCGTTAAGTACCAACCGAGCTCACCGAGAATCGCTTTCTCCATGGCGAGAATCTGGTCTCTTGTGTATGCATTATCTGATATCACCATCAAATCATTAACCTCCGGTGGCCAGATTTCTTCGTATTTGCAGGCGATTAGCATTGCACTGATGCCCACCAATTGAAGTTCTCTTCGGGGGACAGGTTTCTGGGAGAGGTATCGATCAACGATGTTGATGGTGAGGTAAATACTTTCTGGCATCAGCTCGAACTTCCGGTGAACTTCAATCAACCAATCTACCAAAATAGCTCTCATTTTGGCATTGAGGTCAGGTTGCAAATTCATATAATCGCGTAAACCCCCTTCGGTTTCTGAAAGTTTGTAGAAGGTGTAAATGTCTTCGACGTATTCGACTTCCGCTAGTTCATTGTTGATGTCTGATTCATCGATGTTAACAACTGGATCTTTCGGTTTTGTTGTGATCCCACAAGCAGCCTGATAAAAAAGATTCAAAACCAATGCTCCATTCACAAATGAATCATTCCGAAAGTTATTAAATCAAATCCTTAATGAACAAACCTTGCTTCGAGCAGTAAGAACAGATGTGAGTGTCTTGGATGGCTTCCTTGTTCTTCTTTTTGGGGTTTCTTCATGATTTCCCACAACTTCCTTCTTTTGCTTCGAGACTAAATTGCCATTGTTTTCTTCTGCTAGTGGTTTCTGCATTTGGGTTCAAAGAAAACCAAGAAGCTAACACGTTTAGGTACACAGCACCTTTTATTAATTCGATTTATCAAACATATAGGTTGAACAACAATGAACACTTGCTACCTTTATGTTCTTATCTGCTGCTGCTTGTCCATTGGCCAACAATTGGGCACGAAAAGTTCTGATCAAAATCATCAAACTCAAATCAAGAACTAAGAAATATGACACTGAATCAAGAGGAGGGGAAATGGGAAACGAACCTTGTAATCGGGCGAGAAATCTGAGTTTGGGGCTTTCCGATTTCAACAACAGGAGCAGCAGCAAGATTTCCAATGTCACCTAGGGCTTTTCGGTTTCTTCTTTCGTGTTTCTGCTTAACATCTGCTACTGAAAAATCAGACTCGGTCAACAAAATAATCTAGAAATCCTTCAAATCAAACAAAAGCACAAACACAAAAAACAATAAATACAAATTTATCATCTAAATTCGTTGGTGTTAGTGAACACTCTAAACCTTCAGATTTTAAAGAGGAAGTCTGCAATCAATCGATAAAGCATACATCTAAGTTATTAATACGAACAGATCAATTAGAAGCCATAGTAAGGATTACTTCTAGGTTTTAAATCGAAAAAACGAAACAACGAACTCAAAGAAACCAGATTGATTCGTGAGTTATGAAACCCTATAGAATTCTCCTCAACGATAAAACACACAAACGATATATTGAACGGATCCATCAAAAGCCTCATATGATGAAACAACAAACTTCATCACTGAAATCACAAGTCTATTATAAGCCACTGTTAATGAATGAAACAACAAACTTTATCACTGAAATTAATTCATCGTGAAACCCTAGATCCCAGTTTTTACATAGACATTCTCCAAAATCGATAAAACTCATGAACAATCATATTTCCAAAACATACCTATATTCTGTTGTTGAATCGGAACAACAGGTTCGTAGGACGTCATAGCTTCTTCTTGTTCTTGAGTATGGCCAAAAACACCTCCAATACTCGTTAAAAGTGACGAGAAAAACGATTGGAGACGGCTGTTGTTTGCCTCCCCTTCTTCTGGGTTTCCAGTCGCCACCGTATGATCGGTTTACGTTCTTATGAAAGTCTCTTTCTCCCAGTTAACAGCAACAATTTTACAGAGCGTTCGATTTTAGGGTTTGGTGTTAGAGATTTCGTTTGATTTCGAGGGTTTTAATCGGCAATGGAGGAAACGCGCCCATGCTTTTATAAACGGTCATATTTTTCAATTTTTGAATATTGACCGTTGGATGTCGTGGCATATTTCCTTGTTTTAACGGTAATATTCTTCCCCTTTTCACCTTCTATACGAGCCCGTTGTTTTCTTAAACATATTTTAAACTAAATACCGTCGGATTTGGGCTGGGCTGTGCTGGGCTAGCCCAATTGATCCATTTTGTTTGGGCTTTCCAATTTTCTGGTTTTTTACTGGTCGTGTATCCGTGCAATGCAGCAGTATGTGAAATATGAATAAAAGTAAGCAAGCATACCAATTATGGATAAACATTTGCACTCAAATTTGTTAGACCATAAGCTTTATTGATCGTCACATCAAAAGTGTTTTTCTTTTCAGTTTGAATAACATGTAATCTTTGTATAGCCTTTACTTTGGAATTTGATGCCATAAATAACTGTTCCATGTATAATGGTTATTTTTTTAATGATGCATTTTGGCATGCAAATCCATGCTCCCCCTTTAAACCACCCCATGGTCCATGAGTTATGCCATCCAAAAAACTAAACACACATAAATTGGTACCAATTCATGATTCAAATGAAACACAACAAAAGATAATAATTGAAACCTTACCATGAGGCTATTGAATCTAAGCCATAAGGAAACACCATAAGACTACTTGATCATGGAGTAAATATAATCATGAGAAATTAACAACACTGCTTCATTATGATTTGGAACGTCCGTATAGAAACAAGCAAAGAATCGGCCAATTGAATGTATAACAACAAACCCATTATTAAAGCATGAATAGAAACACAACAACGTCATGTCATATTACACAATTTGACATATGATCATAGCTTGTTGTCTCCAATGAAGATGCACTCTAGATATGAGGTAAAGACGGACAGAAAAATTAACTCCAAAACCTGTTCATGCCATATTCAATTTCATTATCAAAAGGTAAGTAGAAAAGAACAAGGCAGGAGGGAGAGAAGTTGTAAACAAAACCCTTGTAATACTGTTACAAGAACAATTTATATAAAAGTCGAAACAACATTTTATTACCAGAAAATTGATAAATACCTCAAACCATGAGGAAAGAATTTCAACCAGAAAATAAAGAAATAATAACAAATAAACAAGCACAGTGGAATCAAACAGCAAAACATAATATAATTGACTGGGAGTCGAAAACTTTGACATCAATGGTGATGTTTCTCTTTAATTGGGTATTGACATTTGCAAAAAACGATTCACCTTGCCTGCAAGTTGTGAAAACTGAAAATGTTAACATAATGCAAAAGATATTTGAATTTACCGCCAGTTACAAAAACAAAATGCAACCATGTAGCACTTAAACAAAGTCTTCATCGCATAAAAATGCCAGACACAACTATATACTTACAATTTATTTATATTCAGATCTAACAATCAAATATACAAAAAGTGGGTGCACTACGAAACCACTTCAAAATCACTTTCAACATAATCAATTAAACCACTATAAAATCAAGAAAACTCACCACATTCTCAATCTGAAGAGATAAGATAGGAAAAATCTGAAGCACAAACATTTGATAATGATGACCTTGTTTTGAGACGATGTGTCCGAGCCGTGCCATAGAGAGAGCGAGATTATGAATCGAGATCTGAAAAACAGGGTCATGTTAAGAAACTTTGTGTCCAACTAAAAACAACATATGTAGGCACACATAAAAGTTTCATCCCTATCCGTCTCTCCATGTATATAAGAAAATGGCCATGGTTCAAAAAAGCACAAAGAATGAGCCAACACTCTGCACATCAAGTTACAAAATAGATCATCTTCGAGAACCCCCCGATTTCTTTTATGTATTTCATCCTTCTCTTAATAAAATGCATCTTTTAAAAGAAAGATGACATAAAGTTAGGAGTGTTGTTTTTTTTAATGCAACTCAAGTTGAATGCATTTTTTGATTTTCGGATGAATTTGGCTACTCGTTTTAATTTAATTTTTTATTCAATTTGTACGCTTAGTATTCGACTCTTCTTAAGAGAAAATAATTTAATTAGAAGAAAAATAATTCATACATACATTACAAATCCAAGCATACTTTTCTTATAACTATGAATGTTCGAATCAACATGTGAGTAACTAGACTAATCGTATTGGCCTTGAAGATAAGTAGATAACAGTTTAGAGAAGTTTCAATGATATCGAGAATACCCTATGTACTAAAACCGACTTTACATGCAAATTGCAAGATGAGATGATCCTCAAGATTAAATCCAAATATATTATCAGTTGATAGAAGTGTAGTCACAAAATGCATCTCGTTTTTTTCTTTCTCAATCTATTTTACGAATTTGTATCGTTTGACATAGCGAATGAGTCTTCTGTTGGTTATCAATTTTAAGGAGTATTTTGCCATATTAATAGGACTAAACACTTATTATGTATTTGAACATGGTTATGGTTATGGTTTGTTTATTAATTAGTTTTATAAATGTTAAACATATTACTCTGTTGTATGAATATACTCGGTGATTGAAATTTTGAAAACCATGTTTCAAAAACTAGAAAAAATATATATCAATGTGAATACCAAATTAAAGAAAATAAAATACTCGTTTTTTAAATATAACTTGTTCATTTAAAAATTTAATTATAATTAAGGTTTATGATTTATTATCTTTATTTATTAAAAAAAATCCTCCACCCATGCAACTTGTCTTGATTTCAGTTCGTCATGCAAATAGCCGTCAGCCACTCCGGTTAACAAAGAGGGCAAAACAATCATTTTGCTCTTTTCTCTATTTTAAATATAATTATTTTTTTCCTTTTCCACGCCATAAACCTCAAATAAATAATAAAAACCATTTATCATATGAGATCCCAAAATCCTTAACCTAACTTTTTCTATAGCTGAAGTCTTAAATGAGTAGATTATCGATAACCTTCCTCTTACTCGTGTCTCTTACCAATACCTATCTTGGAAGTACCTGCCCTTGAGATGCATATTAATAGTTAGCTTTAAAAAGCTAGATAAGTTCATGATTTTCATGCACAATCATACATGTCTTGTCATGCATAAAACAAACAAATAGCCCAAATAAAATAATACGTACATTTGCTTCAAAACTCCTTTAAATAATAACGAGATCTCATTTTATGTCCCATCAGATAAAGGTCTTACTATCACCGACATTCCTCTGGTTATACGACTATCCCTTGTCCGATCACCCATCCTTACGAAGTGCCTTCCTTTATGACATATCAACCCAATCCCATACCCGATTGAACATAATAAGTAATAACCCGTTTATAACATGCTATTTATTTTAAAACACAATAACATAATAGTAATTCTCATGCATGTATGAAGCCCATAAACATGCACATAAAAATAACATAATTCTCAAATAATTTGTACGTTAGCATGCATCCCAATTGAAGTCTCATGAAGACTCACCTGAATAGTTCCGCTTAGCTAAACCTCGTCTCTGAATAATACCCTATAACACATAATTATATTTCCATAATTAGAGTCTTGACTTTTCCCACAAAGTCAACCCGAAAGTCAAATGGGTCAACCCTAGGGTTAGCATGGTCAGCGGGTCAACCTTAAGCATACCTAGTCGCCATGTACCTTCCCCCATGGAATATTTCACGTTCAGAATAAATTACGACGTATTAAACCCAAACTTTAATTATACACGATTCTCGTTTTAAAAACGTCAGATCCCAAAATTATCTAATTAGAACTCCCGTAATAAGTTATTAAATTATTTCTTATAATTTAAATGTGGATCCTAATTAACTAACACCCTTTATAATTTGATTTCCAAATCTTGACCAACTTAATTGAAACATCCCAATTTATTTCGATTAATCCAAGTAAATAAATGAGCCTCAAATGTAACTGAACTCGATTTTATCAAAATGACTCAAGTCTAACTGAACTCGACCAAGACAAATTACCCCCGACCCCAAAACTTGGTCCAGCGTCGGCCGGCCCAACTCAATGCCTGACCCAACCCAATCGCACCCTTGGTGCGGCTATCGTGAACGAATTCCATTTGAGATCGTTTTCCGAGCAGTTTTCACCTAACTTTTTACAAAATCTTATATATAATAATAATCCCAGCTCGTACACAAATTTACAATCCTACAGTCCATTATTAAACTCGTATTTGAGTTTTTGTATCCGAATCTCGTCAAGCCGCCGCCATCACAACAGCTTCTAGCCCAAACCGCTCGACATACAGGCCACCATAACCCACAAAAATTATACCAGTGGAAAGGTAATCGAAAACAAAGCCAACCATATATTATACACTAATTTTGGTTGAGTATTTTACCTCCAATAGTCGTTTTTTTGCAGAATGATCCTATGCCGCTCCAAACTAGATATCTCCTTCATTTCTTGATGAAATCCAGAAATTCCAATTGGGTTTACTCCCTTACATCCTTGGAAATGATTCCACAAAATTTCAGATCAAAACTCTAACTTATAGGGCATCAAATCAAAAACGTGATTTAGAAAATGATTTAATATGTATAAAAAAATTAATAACAAAATCTTTTAAAACAAATTTCCTCATTTTACGTTCAATTTAGTTTAAGGGCAATATAGGTATTTGATAAATGCCTCTCTCCTTTCTCTCTCTCCTCTTTCTCAATTTTGTGTTGAAATACATGAGTTTTTATATTTGAGTCTTCCATTTGAGAAGACATAATGAACAAGAATGTTCATAGGGTGCACATTGCTGGTGAAATCTTTCTCTAGTCGATAAACATGTGGTGAACAAAGAGATAAAGATGAACAAATAGATAAGGTGAACACATAATGAACAAGGCAAGTTTCAAAAACAGATGGTCTTTCATGCTTCTCTTACTCATTCAACCCATAGATCTGAAAGATTTCTGAACATTATCAGTTAACACACCATGTTCCCTATTTACCAAGTAACTTCCTTCACATTCACACACCTATTTGGCTTAGTTTTGCCTTCAT